TTAAAAATATATCCTTTTTCTTTTTCTAGCAAAAATAAAAAATAAAAAAAGATGTTCATCATTTATCATTTATTCATCTAAAAGATTAAGTTATACGTAAACAAAATTTATCATATCTAACAATAAACTTTATCACCACTTTAAATCCAATATTTTTTAAATCCTATATAACCTCATCTATTGTCCCACGCGATGAACGATGATCATAATTAATAAGCCAGTTCAGTCATAAGTGTTAATTTTGCAAGGATGTTAATTTTGCAAGAGGGCGGGTTTAATTATGCAACTTATCAACTGGCACGATCAACGATTGATTTACAAAAAAATAATGGAAGCCTGGAAGATTATATTTTCACCGTGTTCACAATTTGAAAAAAAATTGGTTAAACAAATACATATAGTTTCACATATTTGATTTTCTTTCTATTTCTCTTCAAGAATTGGTTTGTATTGTTGTTTAAACAAACAATTTACAAAATATACTGTGTTTATATATGCGTTAACCTTAATTGTATAAGATTAAAAAAAATAGTAATATTATGTATTAATATTTTGTTATTACAATTGAATATTATTAAATGTTTAATTTAACTATTAATAGAAACACGTGTATCGCACGGGCTTAAATCTAGTTATTATTATAGGCAAGACTACAAATAAATCATAATTAAAGCTACATAATTTGGATTAATAGCATAAGAAAATAACCACTGTAAAGAGTAAAAAGGTACTGTAAAAAATTACAAGAAGTCTAAAGTATCATATATTCCTAATTTTCAACGTCCAACGGGTCTTCAAGAAGATCATGAGCTGCCAATCTTGGACGAACTGAAAAAGGTTAATGAAACTTACAAATAAGGCCCTAGTTTTTTGCAAAAAACAATTTTGTCCTTTTTGTTTGTCCTTTTTGTTTTGCATGCATGCACATAGTTTTGGTCAATTATATGTGTATATTTCGTATTGAATTATTGATACTTTTGTAATTTTGTTGGCATGATGTTTCGAATTTAAATTCCAAAACCATTTCTTACAACTTTGCTATGAATAATCGAGTTAACGTAGTGTGAACTTGGTAAGGAATTTGGGTGGCATATACTTTTCACAAAGATTGATTTAATACGACTAGATCTTTTGTAAATTAATAAAGGTTAAATTAATAATCATATTTTGACTTCAATTTGCATTTCATCTTTTGAGAAAAGCCATCTTTTTCTCAATGGACTTTACCTAGACTAGAATTGACCAATTATTAAATCTTGGATGGAAATTTCTTTTACCTATTTCTTTAGGGAAAGGCTATGCTAAGGCGTGTGGTCCACGCATTAGGCCGAGAAGAAAGACGGGCTCCCATTTGCTATCTCCTTGCCGAAATCAAGATTGGGACCTGAATTAAGTAGTAAAACGAAGCTTTGGGGGGTTGGTTTCATACAGTATACAGTATACAAGAACTTTTTTTTTTTTTTTTTTTTTTTTTTTTTTTTTTTTTTGAGGGACGGTATACAAGTACTTTGTAGAGTGTATGTTGAATAAATTATACTTCTTCTGTTTTTTTTTTAAATGCATCAGTTTGACTTTTGCACTATTCACATACTATGGTTGACTTAAATTTTTTACTATTATAAAATAAATAAATGTTGTTATATAATACTTCCTTCGTTTTTTTTAGTTGACACCGTTTAACTATTACACAATTCAAAAACTATATTTTGACTAGCTTTTATGATTTATAGCTACAATGAAACATAGTCAAGTGGATTTTTGTTTGAATCGTCTCAAAATATATTTTATTAATATCCACTTTTTATAATTTTACAATGTCGAGAATTAGAGGTAATAATCATTAAAATAGTGCGTTGACAAGCGTAATAAAAGAAAGATGTCAATTAAATAAAAACGGAGGTAGTATATCATTAGAATTGTCACAATGTCTACTTTAATAATATAATTTTATTACAATTTTTACTAACACAATTAAAGATATTAATTATCAAAGTTATATCTTGGTAAATATAACAGTCAAACGGATACATTTAAAAAAAATAGAGGGAGTAATTTGCAATATGAGTAATGTTTCTATCATTCTATGAGGGACAATATAAGAAATGAAGACTGATATGTGTTATATACTTATATGTATAAAAAGAATTTGTGAAGGGAAATAATATACATGTATATGAGCTGTCTTATATTATTGTCGAATAAGAACTCCGTTACAAATAACTATTAAAGTTAAAGGTATATATTTTAGTGTCTACATCCTCGATCTACAATCAAACTAACTCTTCTTCAACATGTGCTTAATTAGTTAAGTAAACTCCAATACGTAATATTATAGGCAAATTGACAATAACTACGGAGTAGTCATTAAACACCACTCATTAAATTGATAGCCTTAATAAAAACCTCTAAAAAATTGGATAAGAAAGTATCTGGATAATTTAGGTGGGTTAAAAAGTGGGCCCAAAAATGGTGTCAGTGGGCAGTCTGTAGAACAACTCAATTAGGATGGAATTTGACAAAAAGAGATTTGGGCCCACCGTTAACTTTATGCGGTTTGTCCGCCGTGACAGATACAGTTACTTTTCCGATTTTACCCTCCGCCATGTCACATGAACATTCAAGAAGCCCCACCAATCTCAACGGTCTGAACCCCGCAGTGCCATCTCAGTTCTGCCCACCCAATCATAGCAAAATTGCTTTGATTACTCCCGTGCTAATACACCCCCGGTTAAACAAATGTTATAAATAAACCCACTTGTAGTTAAAACTACGTGTACACCCCAACGTCTCAAGTATTATGGGACGGAAGGAGGATTAATAACATCAAGAAATTAAATATGGAGTACTCCTTTCGTTTTTGTTTTATTATTAATCGGCATAATTGTCAATGTATAATTTTGACTACTGGTATTTTTAATTATTGATAGTCTAAATTATATAAAAAGTTAGATATTTGAAAAGTGTGCATTTAGTGTTAGACGATGCTAACAAATACCTGCATGACTATATTTATAAAGCAAAAACACTAGTTAAAGCGGTGCATGTAAATAGTGCTGAAATCAAAATGAGACACTTAAATAAAAACGGAGAGATTAATTTATATTTGTAAATATTTGTAAGAAAAAGTTCTACGTATTTCATTTTTTTTTTTAAGATGAGTGATTGTGTTATGTGTTTATAGAGTAACGAATTTTTTACTTCCTTTGTTTTTAATACTTGTAATACTTTTCTAAAATAAAATTGTCACAATACTTTCAAATTGCAATACATCATAATTGGAAATTTTTATTGGGTGAAAATTGTACTATTACCCATATCGCAATATTTAAAGCTTGTGGCTTATTTAATTATACTCTTAGCAATCTTTCAACCCCATTTTAAGTGTATTAAACCATGTAAAACTCACTTTTCTTAAATACCGTGAAAAATAATGTGTTGTAACTACTTATAAGTTTTTAAAAAATGGAGGAGTGTTATGAAATATTTGTGGATATCCATTATCCTCCCTGTATCATTCCGGAATATTTTAGATTTAGGGTTTATTGTTATCTAAGCAAACCCTAGTTATATTGTATGTATATATATCCACATTCTATGGAATAATAAAACTGATCTATTCTCTCTTAATCTCTCATATTTTTTTTCCTTATTTTATAACACGTTATCAGCACCATTGCTCTTGGATCTGAAACAATATTATTGATTCATATGATCAAGAGCATTACTGCTTCTCAAAACTACCCAAACTCCAAAACAACTCTCCTCTCCTTCGACACCCTAACTCACTTTCACTCATAGACTAACAGTCCCGCAGTCCGTGACGGCGTGACGCGTAATCAGGTCGTGGCCTCCGTGCTCCGTTCTCTGTGCTCAACCGATTAGTTTCTGGGTTTATCTAAGGTCAGAGTTCGACAGTATTAAGTTTTGATTTTAAGCAATTTCTAGCATTACTAGTTCTCTGTGCTGTTTAATTTGTTTGTTTTAAATTTATGATGTTGCCCTTTTGATTTTAACACCCACTTAATGTTGCTAGTTGCTCTTTAATTGTTGTTGTTTCATGTGTGAAATCGTTATTTTAATTGTTCAACTAGAGTAAAGTGTTGTTCTTGGCATACTGTGTTAGTTTTAGTCCGGAAATTCGAGCTAAGAAACGAGTGGTTGATTGATTATAGTTTATCTGAGGTGGAATATTTGTAAAGAATTGATAACGAAGTTTTAATCATTAATTTTTTTTTTTGTTATAATATGGTACTCATCCAAGAATTTATTATATCCAAGAAGTTTTAATCATTAATGCTCTGTATTTTGCTTCGTCTTCTGCTTTCGTCTTTCTTCGCTTATCCTATGTCGCTGATTTTGCGTTAATCGTCTTGCATAATTTTTGATTGGGATCGGGATCCTGTTTAATCCATTCAATAGGTTTGATGATTTTGGGGTTTTTGATCGTTTTCTTTGTTGATTGTTACTACTTCTTTTGGATTGATCAGTCTAATATTTGCGGGATATTAGTAATGAGAAAATATTGTATGTTTTATTGGGAGTTTTTATACATTATAGAGAATAATACGGTTAACAAAAATTTTTTTTTATAGAATTTTTTGAGAAGTGGATGTATCTTTACAGTGTATTAATTAATAAGCAAGCTTGTCATTGAAATACTTTGAATCAATCATTGCGTGCAAAGACCTTATTGATACATTACTTTTTATAATCCGATTACATACGTATTTCCACAACTTACTTGTCCCAAAATAACGTTTTTGTTTTTTTTTTAAGGTTTGTGTTTATTATGGTAAATTAAGGTTCATGTTTTGTTATGATAATTGATTAGTAGACTTAATTATGGTCTCATGAACAATAACCTTCTCAAAGTTCAATACGCAAATCTTGTTATAATTACTTACTTGAAATTAGTTATCTTAATTGAAACTTGGAGTATATATATTTATTATACCATCTTAGTTCCTAATTTATAATATTGTTTTATATATCAGTGAATCATGTCAAACCTTGCAAAACTCGAATTTGTTGCTCTTGATATTACTGGAAACAACTATCTGTCTTGGGTGTTAGATGCTGAAATACACTTAGATGCAAAGGGACTTGGTGATACTATTAAAGAAAACAATACTGCAACAAGCCAAGATAAGGCTAAAGATATGATATTCCTTCGCCATCACCTTCATGAAGGCCTTAAAACTGAATACTTGACTATGAAAGACCCACAAGTCCTTTGGAGTAATCTAAAGGACAGGTATGACCACCAGAAAACTGTGATATTACCAAAGGCTCGTTATGACTGGTTACATTTAAGATTACAAGACTTTAAGTCTGTGAGTGAATACAACTCAACCATGTTTAGAATTACATCACAATTGAAATTATGTGGAGAGAAAATCACGGATGCAGAAATGTTAGAAAAAACATACTCTACTTTTCAAGCAAACAATGTTGTCCTGCAGACACAATACCGTGAAAAGGGTTTTACAAAATATTCTGAATTGATATCTTGTCCCCTTGTGACCGAGCAAAATAATGAACTATTAATGAAAAATCATGAATCACGCCCAACTGGCTCTACTCCATTCCCTGAAGCGAATGCGACATCCCATAGTGGGAAAGAGAAAAAGGCTAGAGATCACGCCAGCAGTCGAGGTCGTGGACGAGGTCGTGGTCGCGGCCGCGGATGTGGACATGATCGTGGTCGAGGTGGTCATTTTAGAAACTCATACTCTCACCAGAAGTGGGACAATAAAGATGGAAATAAGAATGAGAAGGATAAATATGAAAACATATGCTACCGTTGTGGAGGAAAAGGCCATTGGTCTCGTGTGTGTCGCACACCAAAACATCTAGTAGACCTTTATCAACAATCAATCAAACAGAAAGGAAAGAAAGTAGAAACAAATTTGGTGTATGAGGATGGTGAAGGTGATTTTGATTACGGTGATAAAACTCACCTGGAAGCAGCTGATTTCTTTCCTAATTCTGAAGAAAATAATTGAATAAATTATGATACATTGGCGAATAAACACTATTAATTAGCTTGCATTTATTTTAGAATTTTATCGTAGTACTGTGATTTTATGCTTTATGGGACATTTGTTTTTGGATATTTTTATGTTTTCGGATATTTCATTATTATTATTATCAGTCATTTATTAATTTAAGTTATTTGGTTTAGTGAATCTTATTTTAGTTCCTTTAATTCTATTAGAATATTAATTTGAGAATTTTTAGTATAAAGGTTCATATAATTGGGCAAGAGGAACGAATATGAGTCTTATAAGAATTATTTTACTTTGCTATACATACATTGATAAAAGAATTTGTGACTTAAAAGGTGCAAGAGATTTAAAGGTAATTGGATTAATTTAATGCCCCCACATGCAAGGATTAGGGGGAGATAGTATTTATATCATTATTTTATGTAATCCTTGCACATAAATAATAAAATATATTGATGGTCAGTTTGGTACATACATTAACTTAAATATTAATGTTTTAATTAATAAAAGTGGTCACATGTTAATTAATATATTTCAAAATGATACCATCCTGAAGATGGATATGAATAGATGTCATTAGCTATATACCTTTATAAGTTGCTAATGAACCTAAAGCACGCCTGAAGCGTGGTATCCGTAGCCGAGCCCAATAGATTCCAAAGATAAGAATATTCAAACAGGAAAAGAGCAATTATTGACAATAGTAAATTTGAGGAAGTAATACGTTTTGATAGACCTTTATAAGAGATTATATTTAGTAAAATGGATATGTACCATGATTATATAGAGTACTCTAGAAGAGTATAGAATTATCCAACAAACTTAGCATGTATCAAGATTATAGTCAAAGCTCTAGCAGAGTATAAAATTTTGGATCAAGTATTAGTTGATTGTCTTGCCAATTATATAAAGAAACACATTTTGGTGTTCTAATATCACATCATATTATGTTCATAAAGTGATCACCTGGAAAACTAACCGTAATATAAATTTAGATAAATGATTGGATGTGATAATTAAATTAGGCCATCCGGGTTCAATAAATACCCGTTATAGAAACCTGAAGTTTCATTTGATAATGTGCTGACACTCTCTCAATGTTAGATATATGAAGTGAATTGAATGGCAAGACATAACATTGAGATTGAACTATATTTGGATTCTGATTTTCAATGATTTGTGTTGAAGAAAATTTCAAGAGATAATATATTCGTTCTGAATAAATTTTCATACGAATAATAGGTGACTAGAAGTTCACCAGAATAACTTATATGTTATCACATGTTGGTGACCAGAAGCTCACCAAATACAAGTTGTATGAGAAAATTCTGAATATTTAATTAGTATCATACTATCAAGGTTTCTAGTGATCTAGAAGATCATCACCTAGTAGAATTACAATCAAGTTTATATTTGTATAATAATTCTTTTGATTGGGGATGATTAGGGGATTTTTCCCCACCAATCACCATCTGACAAGTGGACCAATCAGGTTCCGCCATGTGTCCGTCACATGGGCCAATAGGAGCGTGCCACGTGTCAAGCAATGATCCGTCCACCATGGACCAATTACGACACGACACGTGTCCTTCCCATGACACTTGGGATAACCGGTCACCTAGGCCCAACTTCCGAGGGAAGCCCAATCAGCCCAAGGTTAACCTAAACCTAGATTGGCACGTTTCCCGAGGTTATAAATACCTCCCTTAATCCTCATTAAGGGAGATTACATGAATAACACGCTAAAAACGCAGATTACTCACATTAAACACTCTCACCTAGAGAGACCCAATCACTTTAATTTCCGCATTAATTACTCCTTAATCAAGTACTAACTTGACCGTCGAAGGCGGATCTCCAATCATCCGGAGCATCCGTTTGTTTTGCAGGTACAGGCGTCCGGTTCCAGTCTCGGAATAATAACTCTCCCGCAGGACATCAGAAAACCCCGAAACATTTGGCGCCGTCTGTGGGGAGAGTACTTGTGAGATGGCATCCACGTCTGTACCGACTCCTGAAGAGAGACGTCCCCTGGACGACCCTCTAGTTCAGTCGGACCACGATACTGAGAATGAATTTGAAGTTGAAGCTCACACAGCTTCAGACGGGACCCTAAGGGCCCGACGTACCCGTCATACCGAAAGGAGGGAACGGGAACATCTTCAAACTGGAAGTGAGCCAGCAGGCGCACCGCCTGTTCGGCAGCAGCCGACTGATGGGTCTGCTCCCATCACAAGGAACGAACTCATGACCTTCATGAGGGACTTCAAGGGAGAAATTCAAGAGTTGATCAACAAGAAGTCGCCTGCTCTGGACAAGGAGCAGTCGGCTAAGAAACCCTCCACTTCACGGAAGAGGAAGCCAGTTCAAGGGCGAGAGGAGACCCCTCATCCTAAATCTAGGAAGTGGGAGCCACCTGCCCTTGATTTCACAAAATACCGTTTTCCTACTCCAGGAAATAGGAAACCTGTTCGTCATATTCAGGCGGACGGGTCGAGGAAAACATACACAGACGCTCGGCTACTGCTAGATCAGAAGAAGAGTGACCGATTGTCAGAGTCGGCCTCTACTTCAAACTTCCAAGACAGTCTGCGAAATACCTCGATGAGGCATACTCAGTCGTATCGTGAGAGTCAGTCAGGCGGCACCTCCCGTCAGTCCGGCTTTCATAGCGACCAGGCGGTACCAAACTTACCGTTTGTGCCACAACAATATTTTTTACAGCCACCTCCGTTTGGTGGACATGCAGCAAAAAATGTCCAACCTATGGACTGACAGCTACGGTTGCTTAGACTTGGTGAACAGCCGTCGGCCTTCTCCAAGGAAATTACTGAAGCCGCTCAGCCGGCCAAAGTGAAAAATGTATTAGTAGGCGCCTATGACGGCACTACTAACCCAGAAGACCATCTGATGGCATTCACCAACCTGATGTACCTTCAAGGGTTGGATGATCCCACTTGGTGCAAGTGTTTCCCAGCGACTCTCAAAGGAATCGCACAACAATGGTTCGGCAACCTGCCGACTGGTTGTGTAAATAACTTCAGGACGCTTGCTTACTTATTCACCTCCAACTTCGCCATGAACATCCCTGCGAATAAGACGACCCTTGATTTAGGAACAATTCAGCAGGGCGAGAAGGAAGGGCTTCGTTCTTACATCAGGCGGTTTAACCTGATGAGAATACAGATTCAAGGGTTACCGGATGAAGTAGCCTATACTGACTTTTTCAAAGGTCTCAAAGACGGGTCGACCTTCAAATTTGATTTGGTCCGAAAGAGGGTGGCGACTCTTCAAGAGGCCTTGATTTAAGCGGAAGCCTATATACAGGCGACTGATCTTTGTAGTACGGTAAAACAGTCAGACGGGAGAAGGTCCGACAAAAGAGAAGGACAACAGAAACAGTCGTCAAACAAAGACGAGAAGAGAAAAGAGGTCTGGGCGGCTGATTCCTCTAAACAGCCGGCCCAGAAAAGAAAAAAGAATTCAAACCATACTCCCCAAAGTATGCGTTTAACAAGGATAGCCAATTTATCCTAAAGGAAATCAAGGGACGGATCTCAATTGAGAAGCCGGTCCCCATGAAGAGTTATGCAAACAGTCGGAACCAAGAAAAATTCTGTGATTATCATGAAGATGTTGGTCATCACACCAATGAATGCATCAGTCTCATGCGGTATCTGGACCGCCTGGCTGAGCAAGGTGATCTTGACACTTATGTCAAGAAATCTACGGGGAACACTTCCTCAAAAAAGCAGTCGGCCAAAAAGAATCAAAAGGCCGTCAACTCCGATACAGATGATGCAGTCGTCTACACCATTGCAGGCGGCTTCTCAGGAGGTGGCCCCACTTTTAGGGGCAACAAAGACAATATCAGACGCTTAGATGTAAATTCCGTTCACCAAGAACGGCCCTCCAAATATTCATTTCCTGAGATTGTCATCACTAAAGAAGATCTAGGAGGGGTAAGAGGGCCGCATGACGACCCTATTGTTATTGAATGTAAAGTGGCCAACCAGAGAGTTGGTCGAATCCTCATAGATACTGGAAGCTCCTCAGATCTCATCAGTAGCAAATGTCTGTCGAAACTAAAATATCAGACTGATTGCATACATCCGGCATCCCACCCTTTAGTAGGGTTTGGAGGAGGAGTCTTCCACCCAGTGGGACGAGTGGATTTACCCATCCGCCTGGGCGAAAAAGGGGAAGGACGACACATGGTAGTCCGGTTCCTGGTAGTAGAAGAACTCTCGGCCTACAACATGATTCTGGGACGACCAACCCTGAATAATTCCAAGGCTGTTATAATCCCATCTCTTATGTTGCTCAAGTTTGAGAGGGATAATGGAACAGTCGGGTCCCTAAGGGGAGATCAGAGGATGGCCCGAGAGTGCTATCTCTCGGATGTCAAGCCCACTGTTATGGCCACTGGGTCAAGTGGTGGAAAAACAAACCTTGACAATGTCAAGGAGAGTACGCCTGTTCAAGAAGCAGGCGGTAAGAAGAGAAAGGCATCCCAGACTACTTCACTAAATGGGTAGAGGCGGAGGCTGTAAAGGGAATCAAGACGAAGGATGTAATTTCATTCATTTGGAAAAATGTCATCACTCGGTTTGGGGCTCCCATGTCTATGGTTTTTGATAATGGTCCCCAATTTGAGACGCCTGTTCTCAAAAGCTGTTTGGGTGACCAAGGAATTGCACACTACTTTGCATCTGTCGGCCGTCCACAAGCAAACGACCAGGTAGAAGCCTTTAATAAAATTATCTCAGACGGTCTCAAGAAAAAGATTGAACGAGCAGGCGGCCTATGGGCGGATGAATTACCACATGTTCTCTGGGCCATTAGGACGACTGTAAAAGGGTCGACTGGAGAAACTCCATTCCTCCTAACCTATGGTGCGGAAGCTGTTCTTCCAATTGAACACTACGAGCCGACTCTTCGAGTAATGCTATATGACGAAGAGGCAAACTGGGAAGCCATGCGCCTGGCATTAGACT